GGCTGTGCCAGGGGCAGGGCCCAGGCCGCTGCTCCGAGCGGGGGCAGCAGGCTCCGAGCCTGCAGGGGGCTCGCCGCATCTGGCCTCCCTCCAACAATGCGCCTGTCACCCTGGGCGAGAGGGGTCTCACAGTGTGCGGGGCTGGCCTCTGAGTTAGCCAGGAGCCTCTGGCGCCTGGAGTCGGAGAGCGCTACATGAACTTCAAGGAACTCTGCTTATGAACAGATTCATCTGAAAAAAGTATTCCACAGATACATCAGGGCCTAAGATGTATTCGCAACTTGAACTAAACTCAGCACGTTTGAAGAAAGAGAGGGAAACTGGGGCCAACCTGAGATTCAGAACCTGGCTCTCGCTCTGCTCGTGACTGAAGGTGGCATCTGGAAGGAAGGTCTTAAGCTCAAAGAGCCTCTGCTTCCTCATACTGCTCAGGAAAAGCAAAACCTGCGTTGCCTATTTTACAAGACTGACCTACCGCTCCAATGAAATTGAGAGTGTATGTAAATGAATTTCAAAAAAAACAACCACCACGGTATCTTAAGCTCAATTTAAACGGATGGTGTCTTCAATTCAAACATTTCAACCGTTGCCATGCCAAGATCAAGTTCAAGCTCCTGACCTTGCCCTGTAACTCCTCATGACTGCTGCCTGGAAAACTCTCCCTGGTGCACGCCTGATGAACACCTAAGTACTGAGCTTGCAGAACACACCCCAATGTTCCAAAGCTGAAATGTGAATAAATTAATTATGGTGGGTTACAAAGGGTAACAGGAAAGTCCAAAACATGTAAAATATGCACAAGAGTTTCCTAAGAGGAAATGATGACTGGAGCACTCATTCTGAACAACTAGCAGAATTTGGAACCCCAACACATGCAGTCAGTATAAGGGTTTAAAATGTGGGGGACAATAATCCACAGTTTATACTTTCACTTTATTGTTACTTCTACTGTTTCTTTGTGTGTTTTTTTAAAAAAAAACACAGCAGTGCAGAGGACCACAGAGATATGCAAAACCAATAACCCATATATATCACCCACCTAGATACAACTCTTATTAACAGCTTGTTAGACCAGCTCCTTCCCTATGTTTAACAAAAATCAGATCATAATGTATATACCACTGTGTCACATGTAATAAATTAACAAATCCTTCATTATTGGCTGTTGAAGCAGTTTCCAAGTTCAGTATTATAAGTAGCAGGGTAAGAAAAATTGGCTAAAAATAATTACAAATAAGAACAGAAACAAAGAATAATAACCCTTTAATGTCAATGACATTAAAGGATTCAAACGAAGTTTATGGAACTGCCAACTCCCTTCCCTACTTCTTCCCCAGCAGTAGTACACACCACTATTCGTCCCAAAGAAACATGAATAAAAATGTACATTTTTAACATCATCATCAATTCAACCTAAAGGGTTATAGATTAAGTTGTTTGTTAGCAAACTGCAGGCGATACTCTTAGTGTGACACCAGTTCTCACAAGCCCAGCCGATCGAAGTCACTTAAGGGGCGCTAGTTGCCTTTGCCTCCATGTCTCATGGCTTCTATCAGTCACTTAAGAAAAGCACCTATTTTGTTGTTTGAGAGGGTATAACATATTAAGAGAGAATTGTGCATCTCAGTGCATAAATTATGTACTTCAATGAACAAATACAAGAGCATCGGAACTTCTAGAGCGATTACAGTGCCAGTTAAACAGAGAAAATCGTTTCCTGTTTTTCTATTTGGACCTTACAAACATAAAGCCACTGCAGAGACTTTTAAAATGAGAGCATTATACGCATAATAACCTCAAGAATATAGTCCAGAATCTGACCACTTCTCCTCACTTCTGTCGGGCTGGCCTTGCCACCGCCGTCTCTTGCCTGGGTTCCACAGCAGCCTCCTGACGTCCTGCTGCTTCGATCTTTGCCCCAGCAGTGGAAACTGCAGGATGACTCCCTCCACCCTCAGTTACCAGCCAGTTTCCCTTCTGGTGCTCAAGGCTGAAGCCTGCATTTCTCCGCTTGAGGGCTTCCTCTAGTCTCCTAGGAATCCGACCTCAACCAGAGACTGGCGGGAGCTGGGGAGTAAGTGCGGCACTGGCTGCCTCGCCCCTGGCATCAGCAGCCCGACGGGTTTTACCCTGAGCCCCGGAGCTTCCCCAGTGGGAGTGAGCTCCCGCTGGCTGCCTTCCAGCTCCTCCTCGCCGCTCCGCTTCCCTTACAGCGCACTCTGCAAGCTCGAGTGAACCTGTGCCTCCATGTCCGCTCCTCGGGGAACCACAGGAAGCATCTCCCTTCAGACTCTTCTCAAACCGAAAGGCAGAGCGCTGCTTTTAGAAACAGAACACGCCACTCTCTCAAAACCCTGCCAGGGCCTCCCCTCTTCATCCAGAACGGAAGGTCCAAGTCTTCTCAAGGGTTTATGAGGCCCTGTATCACCTGCCCACCTGTGCCCCGCCCTCCCATCCCCTTGCCTGCGGTTCCGCGAACTTGGACTTGCCAGGCGGCCTCGTGTTAGGGCCCCGGTGCCAGCTATTCCCTTAGCCCAAAACACTCTTTCCTTGGGAAACTGCAGCCTGGTTAACGCGTTCACCTCTTTCAAGACCTGCTCAAATCTCACCTCTTCAGTGAGGTCACCCCAATGACCACCCTATTCAATACAGCACAGCTCCCCCATTTCCACAAAGCACTCCCAAACCCTTTCCTGCTTTATTTCCTTGTTTTCATTGCACTGTCCCCTTCTAACACATTAAATCAGTAACTTTCTCCGGCTAGAAAATAGACTCCATGGGGAAGGTATTCTTTATGATGTTCCCTGGTGCTTCCCAAGTGTTTAGAACAGAGCCTGAGACACAGGAAATGGTCCATTAAAATCTGTTCAACAGTTACCACAAATTATCAATAACATGATAATTATTGATAATTTATGGAAAAATGATAAATATATACTATATAGGTCACCCAATTACTACAACAATAATTCTCTTTTTAGGGTAAGTTTAAAACCAGTAAATAGTGTTTGTATATAAATTTACAGACCAAGTGTCTGTATTACATTTTAATAATGTATTTTAATTTGTCACTAAATAGAGGAAATACAATGATTCCAACTTGCTAAGAGATAATTTCGAGGGTGATTATTCATACTATAAACTTTTTTCATTCACAGGGGTTTTGAAACCTGCGATTTTACACAAATGTTCTATAAAGATGTAATAATTCTCATTCATTAAAAAATATAATTCACTTATACCCCCAAATTTTTAGGAACACGGTTACTTCACTGACTTGGACATTTTGGTGTAGAGTAATACACAATTACCTATGGATACATCAAAGGCTGGACAACGCCTCAGCACTTACTTCTCCCCACCTAACTGCTGATCTGGCAACTACATCAGAGACAGGCTACCATCTGACAAGAATAATGCTTGGAAAGGGGGTCCTAGGAAGTCTCTATAGTCAAAGGGACACCTGTGGCAAGTGAGCAGTAGTGACGGTCACCAGATTATACACTACAGGCAGCTTCCTCACCTCCAACCCCTAAATCACCTGTAGGAACAGAACCAAGAGTTCCTCTTTCTAAGTGGACATCAGCAACTAAAATAGAATATAATAAATATAACATGCATGTTACATATAGTCTGATATATACATATATATGGCATATACATGTGTGGACCACGTTTGTGCCTCACGTTTGTGAGTTTTTCTAGTTCTTCGACGACTCCCCTCCCTCCTGGGCCTCTGCATGTATTTGTGACATTGCTTTTTCTCGTTAGCAGTATCTTGGGTTTTATCAGTATTTGAGCATGTTTGAAACAGACAAGGGAGAAAAAGAAAAGTTGTGTTCAAATGGTCCAGGTTTTGTTAAAGGAGTTTTACTAATGTTCCTTGGAAAAGGGGTCAAAAGGAAGTGAAAGCACCTGCGTAACTTTCACTTCAGCATTCTGCCTTTCTCATTCCTCCCGCTTAATGGGGGACAGACACGTACGCTTCCTAATGTCCTCAGCTGCTTTGGCAAATCTGTCCTCTACAGTAGTAAAAAATCAAGAACACAGAAGCTAAAAAAATTTATAGGAAACTGTCCTCCAAATACTGGCCTTTGTACAGCGCCCATGTGTCAATTATATTTGTACCTACGTTTTTGAAGGAGTCTATTTTTATATTTTTACTTTCCTTGGAGAAAAGCAAAATATCAAAATAGCAACATGAAATGAGTCCCATGAGGGCATTTTTATAAAAGGGAATAAAGTATTTCCACTCTATAGCGTTTCTTAATCTTCCTATTTAAACATCTTACTATATATAAAATATGAGTACAAAAATAATAAACATACAAGTACTGCTTTAATTAGTCACTAATTGTAATGTGTGGATTTTCCCTCTTTGGGGATTATTCTTTTCAAAAACCACTTCATGCATTACTTCGGGACTCTAGTACCACATTTACTTGCACATAATGATTTCTGCTTCACCATCTTTACCTCTGCATTTGCAATGAAAGACACTAACACTGTCATTGCCACAAATAAAAATACTCACTGTATTATACAATTCTCAACATTCAAAAATGGAACTATACTATGTAATTAAAATGCAACTCATCTCCACCTACCTTTTATAGTCAACTTTGTTAATACAGATATGAATCCTTAATTGAGGGGCACTGGGCACTCCAAGGACTAACTATAGGTGCTCTGTTTCTTCCATTAGACCTGTATCTTAAGTTCCTTTAGCTCCTATTTGTCAGGGAAAGGCTGCCAGGTGAGCAGTCTGTCACTCTTGCCTGGGCTAATGGATTCTCCAGTGGCTTTTGTTACAGCTCATGTCATCCTATTAAAACCATGTGCCTTGAAAATGGCATAATATATGTAGCTGACTCTTGTCAACTCCAGATAATCAGACTCTGTTTGGCTTCGGGAGCAGATGCAGATTAGAGAAGCGATATAAATATGCAAATCATGGCGGCCCCCTCTCAGCACCACTGTTCCTACCTCTAATGGCCCTCGCAGAATGTCTGCCTGCTCGGCTCCTACTTCCAGGGCGACATCCACAGAAGCAAAGGGACGGCTGGCCATCTGCTGTCGTTCTCGTAGCAGTTGCTGGAGAGAGTTAAAAATGATTTGTTTTAAAATAGGTTTAAAACACAATAAATACAATATCTGGTTCTTTTCTTTTTTTAATATGTCTTTATTGATTTCAGAGAAAGGAAGGGAGAGGCGGGGGGAGAGAGAGAGAAACATCAATGATGAGAGAGTCATTGATCGGCTGCCTTCTGCACGGCCCCTGCTGGGGATCGAGCCCGCAACCCAGGCATGTGCCCTGACCGGGAATCGAACCTGCGACCTCCTGGATCCTAGGTTAATGCTCAACTGCTGAGCCATGCCAGCCGGGCTAGCTGGTTCTATTTTTAACAATGTCACTCAAAATTTAGAAATCATCTAATATACATATCCATGTCTAGTTCACTAAAAATGAAAATTGGTTCCTCTCCGTGGCCTGTGTAATGTTGCCATAGAGGATTGAAGTGTATGGTGCCTGGGAAGAACTCCTTGACCTCCATCCCACAGGTCTAATGAAATGTACTCAAAAGCATTTTGAAAACTTCCCCTGAGAGGTGCTACTTAAGTAAGAGCTGCTATTATGATAACGGCTATGCCACGTTTTCCCACTCTAACTCACGCTTTTGTCTTGGCTGAAAGCAAGTGATGGTAAACACGTTTAAGAAAAGTTAATGAAAACTTGTCAAATGCACTAATCGAGATGAAAGGAACATATACCTTCCAAGACTAAGCCTTTTAAGTCATCAAGATCCCCTGTCCATTGCTAAGGAACCAGCAGTTGTTATTGGCAGCATCTACAACTTTACTAAAGCCTCTATGTTCACGATTTAAAATGAGGAATGATTAGTACGCTGCAAAAGTTTTGTGCCAGGGCTTCAGCCCCAGATATCTGTTTCATTGCCCTCGTGCCTATTCCGGGCCTGGGCCAAGCTAACACCGACAGACTAGCAAGTGCCAACCAGCTCCCAAGCTCATTTATATTTCTGCCTCTCCTTCTAATTACCATATTCATTAAGTCATGATCAGAAAAAACCAACGACTGGCACTAGATATTGCAAATCTTGCCCTTCTCATTCTATACAGCTAATACAATTATTGTTAAATATTAAAAGTGGGTGAGCAATGCAATTAAGTACCCTTTCAAATGAGAAGAAAATTGTATCTTTGAAGAAAGGCAAACTCCTTGAACACAATGAACGGCTTCATTAATCACTGGGATTTTTTTAATTCACTGGCATTAACTTAAAACGTTAACGACTGGGCTTTGTACATGTATAGAGCCCTGAGATGCATCATTCATAAAATTCCCATTTAGATGATGAAGGAACACAAGCCAACACCCGATGGCAGCTGATTATTTAACGTTCTGTTCTACGCTTGTGATCCAGCAGGGACGCCGTTCATGAAATGTGTTGCTAAAATATAATTGAAGGCCTTGCTTTGTTATTTTTAAGAAGAGAACATCCACGTGCCAATATGGGATAGAAATAATACAACTATTATGGAGTAATAGTTTTTCTTAAAATAAATATATATAAATATACGTGTATTAAAATGAAGACATACTAAAACATTTAAAGTAAACATAAATGTGATCTAAGCCACCAAATTATTTGCTTTAATATAAACTCAAAATTATATTAAAAATACAGCTGCTAGCAAGTAGAATCTTGTTTGTGCCTCTCTCCATAGGAGTGGCCAGTTGATCTGAATATTGTGTCTATGCCGAATGCAAACATAATGTTACTTCAGATGCCAAGGAACACCAGGTATAAAAGACACCATGCTTTTTGGTGAAAACACACATACACACATACACACATACAAATATACAAAGCAAATTTCCTATAGTAATATGCAAATAGCCTTGAGAAAACTGTAAATTATAGCTTAGGTTTGAACACAATTTTCTAACATTTGTATTAAAAAGTTTCTTTATTAATACTAGTTGTCCTCAGCTTACAAATGGTAACTCATATAATTATATGACTTTTAACAAAACGAACAACTTCTGTTTCCTCATCTTACCTTTCCCCTACACCCAAAAGGTCTAAAAATATAATTAATGAATCAGTCAATACCACAAACTGTAATATAAATCTATAAATATTCCAAATGTACTATCTTTGACAAAGAATAGAGTTTTCTGGAATAAAATATATTCTATATTATTGTGACCCTAACATTCACAATAAAGAAAAATCAGTGACAGTCATATTTTTTTGATCTTTTTATTTATTAGTAAATACAAAAGTATCTTTAAACAGTCCAGTCTGTCTTCTGAGCTTTGAGTTTCCATCACTTTTTAAGAATTGAATGCCTCCTACAGTGCTCTTTGCAAAGAAGACGAAAAAACAGTTCTTACCCCAGACCCAATGCTATCGTTTGTAAACAAGACATGGCGAAATAAAGGCCTGGGAGGGTCGAGGGGGTCAATGGGGGGAAAAAGGGGGATATCTGTAATACTTTCAACACTAAGGATGTAAAAAAATAATTAGGGCAGAAGGTACTATAGAGTGAAGGTCACGAACAGGGAATTCAAATGAGCTTACTCCAGGGTACTGAGCAGAGGGCCGGTTCGAGGGCGCTGGCTGACGGGCTGAATCACACTGACTTTGGGAAATTAATGTAACTGTTCTGACTGTGACATTTAGGAAGGGGAAGTCACTTCCTCCTAAAACCCTCTTGCTTTGAGGTGATGGCCTAAAATAATATAATGGGACAATATTATTTGCTACTAATTTCTGGCCCTCAGTATCCTCAACCACTGTCCTCCCTCCTGCCGGTTACTATCGGTACGCATCACTTCCCCATTTTTGCCCCTCCCTCTGTCAAACAAAGAAGAGGTAAACAGCAGGCTTACGACTTAAATTTTGCCAAAATTCAGTATAAATATTGACAGGTGACATAGCTACACTTGATTTAGAAAGACCTGTGTTTGAATACCAGTTTTTACACTTATTAGCTGTTTCAGCTTAACCAAATTATTGAGATGTCTTGAGGCCTCAATTTTCCCGTCTATAAAGTGGGGATGTTAACATGGCCCACACCTACACCTACACCTCAGAGGATTTCTCCCAGTTTCTCCACCCACTACCCATGGGACCACAACCAAATTACCTTTTAGGCCTTTCTAACGCTTATTTTCTCTCTATAAAAAGGAAGTAACAATAATACCAGGTTGGGAATAAAGAGAGAATGCACTTGGATTGCTCTCAGGAACTGTTCACTGGTACAACTGTGATGTCAAACTTCAAGCGCTCATTTTGTCTTTCGAGATGGCACCCTAATTACCGCAGGCCCATTTCCTTCGGCACCAGTGGCACATTTCACTCTACTAGTCTCCCTTTTAACAAATGTTGCAAATTCGTGTGACAGTTGGAAAATGTCATGATTGCGGTAAAATAAATTAAGGCTTGGAAGTGCTTTCTGCCAACTGCAGCTAAGACTGGTAAAAACTCAATGTGAAAATCAGGAGGGTGCAGGGCTGCCCTACGTTCTTGGGAACTTCCAAAAATAATTTATTTTGTGATTATGATTTTTACATAAAAGCCAGCCTAACATTTTGTACGTCCACAAGAAGCCATGTAACAGATGATGTGCTTCATAGCTAATCTGCTACTGCCAGTTATTCAACAGAAAAATAAACCAGTCACGCTGCCACAAACTCCACTGTGAAGAAAACTCTGAAAGTAAAGAGGTGTTCTCGGTATCGCGTCTGTTGTCCATAACTGTTTTACTATTCGAATCTCTTACAAAACAAATCATGAAATTAGAAATAATATAAACATCCATGTTGAAATACGGCAACCAAGGATACTCGTTAATTCTATCCAGTGTGCTAATTCTTCCACTCAACATTACTTCTTCAAATATTGTAGCATTCTCCAGAGTTCATACTAGCAAATTCCCAGCCACCTAAAGACACACTAACATCTCTCTAATAGACTTTAGGGTAACAACCCTAAAACACACACAACAAAATAGTAATTCACTGTCCCCAACCGTCTTCCTATCTCCTCCCTCCGGCCTCGGTTCTCTGTCTTTCCCCCACCTCCAAAAGTCCTTCCACCCACCCCAAGCTTGAAGTGACCATCTTTCTTATGAATTATGTATTAGATTAGTATGACACACTCTCTTTATATCTTCATGCACTTCTGAAGTCTTCTTTAATGCATACATCTGTTTTTCTTTGTTTTGTTTTGTTTAATTCCCTAAAGCACTTAGTTGGTAGTCAACGGTATTTGATAGATGAACAATGAATGAGTGGATTAAAGTATAAAACTCTGTATCGTCTGAATGTGAGTGAAGACAAGTTATGAAAAAAGTGATTTTAATTATGAGTTAGCCTTTAAAACTATGACATGCCCTTTATTATTTTAGAATTTATGTCTGATGCTCCCAAGGAAGTGGATATTGATTTTTTAGAATGGGACAACTTTGTGGATCTATATTTCAAATCAACATCAAGTTTCATGTTGCTCCGCCTCTACTTTATTGCAACACTGAGAAGATTATGAAAAATATCACCATAAAGTCATCAAAACGCATTCATATTTCTAATAAAAATTATATTCCTAAGTTTTTGGAAAGGTCTAAAAGGAGCAATCAAAATGATTGTTACTCTTGAGTTTACAATATAAAACGAAGTGTTTGAATTAGATAGAAATTAAGCAACATTTCAGGAAAAGGAGCGTATCTCTTACTAACAAACATTTAACAGAGCAATGTAAGTAAGCAATCCACTTTGTTCTTCTGGCGTTAGGATGGTGTGAGGAAGTAAAGAGAAGCGGCAATATGTTTTAGTGTCATTTAATTAGGAAAGTGTGATATTGTCATTTTATGTAACTAGATCTGCAAGGCACAGTCCTCAAGCTCTTACTCGGAATACTGGGAATCTACTGCTTCTGGTCTTCCAGGCCGAACTGGTTCTCGTAGGTAAAGATGTTGGCACCTTAGGGGGGTGGCTTGTCATGACATCTTTGATTGGGTTGCTCCGACTGCTTTTTTCCAGACCTGGGCTAGTGAGCTGAGAGCCC